TAGGTTTTCTGTGATACATTAACTGCTCTTGTCAATGGCTCAGAAATAGCTATCATAAAAACAGCTACTGTTTCTAGTGTACACAGACCTGATGATGCAGCTATCATTTCCATGGGCTGTACTTTCTATTATCTCAAATTCTCAAAAAAGGGCTTGCTTTGGTCTATTGCCATGAAAAAAAAAACTCCTAGGAAGTTTCTAAGTGGGATTACTATTGGTCATATGGAGCCCAATGAGTTTGCATTATGTTCCTCTTTTCTGTGGTCAACTTGCTATTGGCCAAAAAACAATATTTTGTGATACTTGGTGAGAGTCCATAAACCTCAATGGTCTGCATACCAAGGGCCTGTTAGATTTTTGCAATACAGTGCTTTCTAAATTCTAATCCATGGTGTGGGGGGGAAGTGTCTGATATTAGTAACATCTTTGTTTATATGGCCATTAACAATAGTCATGACTTACAAGAACAATAATAATTTAAATAGCAGCAATTCAAATAATCACTCATTGTAATCAATTTTGAATGATAAATATCAATTATTGTGTGGCATATAACACTGAGCCCCTATGCAGCCCATTGTCACCAGTGATGGGCCAATGTGTTCATGAACAGCAGGAATATAACTGATGCACTTCAGCCAAACATGGCGTGACCCGTCCTTGGACCTAACGGTTAGAAAGCTGATGCGTTTTGGGGGACTAACCCCCTTCTTCAGAGCTAAACCAACCTCATATTCCATAGCTATTTAAATGGGCCTGGATCTATAGGGCATTCCTGTTGATCCTAGGGAGGAGGTTCCCCGAAGATGTCACTCTGATGAAACATGATGGGCGTGGTTTGTACATGACGTCATTACGCATTATTGGTAGGCATTTTCTTTTACTGTAAGCCATCAGCCTGCTATAGTTTTATCGTTTCTATACACCGTGAAACGTGCAGGTTCAAGGATATTGTATTGTTGTTGTATTGTCTCCCATTATATTGTAATTCGCTGAGCAAACTGTTGGCGCTATATAAATCTTGTATAATAATAATATTGCTCTTATATTAATACAATAAATGGTAAGAGCATTTTTTTAAAAAACCTCTTTCACCATGGAAGTGTATTTTCCTGATCCCACGGTGTCATTGCATAGATGTCCGTGTGAGCGCCTGAATCCATGGTGGAGCCATTGGTGGATATTGATACCAAGCATGTTTTGGCCATTTATAATGGTCCATCACATCTAGTAAAAGGCGTCTGTCTAACTGCATCACTGGATGGTGGAATCTCCTGTCTATGGTGGGTCACATCACAACTTTTGTGGGACGTGCGGCTTGCCATCCACACTGAAGGATTAGACTGCTTTGGATATACCCAGTTTGCTTATTTGGACTGGATTGTATTTATTCTGTCTAATTTTATTTATTATTCACTCCCTCATTATATCACGCCTCGACTACTGTAACTCCCTCCTCATCGGCTTACCTCACCGCAGGCTATCCCTGCTTCAGTCTATCTTGAATGCTGTGGCCAGACTCATCCACCTTACTCACCGCTCCGTATCCGCTACCCCTCTCTGCCAATCCCTCCACTGGCTTCCGATTGCCTAACGGATAAAATTCAAAATGCTAACATTGACGTATAAAGCTGTTCATAATACAGCCCAAACTACATCACCGATCTGATATCCAAATACCACCCAAAACTTACTCTCCGCTCCTCTCAAGATCTCCTACTCTCTAGTTCCCTGGTCTCCTCCTCCCATGCCCGTCTCCAGGACTTCTCCAGGGCTTCCCCCATCCTCTGGAACTCCCTACCCCAATCCATCAGACTGTCACCTACTCTCCGCACCTTTAGACGTACTCCGAAAACCTATCTCTTCAGGGAAGCCTACCCCGCCCTCAGCTAATTACTGAACTCCTTCACTCTTCCTACCACTCCATCCCCCACAGCTCTTTCCTCCTGTACCACTATCCCCTCCCTCCTAGATTGTAAGCTCCAAGGAGCAGGACCCTCGAACCCCTCGTATATTGAATCGTATTGTTACTGTACTGTCTTGTGTACTGTCTCCCATTATAATGTACAGCGCTGAGCAAACTGTGGGCGCTATATAAATCCTGTATAATAATAATAATTTTGTAATGCACTTTATTTTAAATGGATTCACATAATTTACTTAGTATATGTGTGTGAACACCTTTTTATATACATTTGTTTGTGCCAGATCATGAATTTTACTGTTTATAGAGTATTTATTTCCAATTTATGATACTGAGTTTATTTACAGAATGCAATATTAATAATATTTTTAGTGCTGCTTTTCCTGTTTATTTGTCTCTTAGACTAGTATCATAGTTGCACAGCAGCTGCTTAGTTTTATTATTATTTATGACCTAGCACAGATATAATTTATTATTTTTTATTGATTCAATAAATTTGTCTATGGTAATGCATGAGGAGTCTGCTCACTCCTGTGTGTTCTTGCAGTGTTTTTTGCTGCTATTTACAGTAGAACTGCAGACACTTTTTTTTTTTCTTTTGGATACAAAGGGAAAATTTGACCTACGGTCAGGGTTTTATGGTTGTATATGTCACTTTTTCACCTTTTTGAGGAGTATACTGCTTACCTCCTGTCATGGTGACCACAAAGAAAGTTAAGGGAATCTCCCTAATTGGGATCCAGCTAAAAAAAAAAAAAAAAAAAAAAATGAACAGAGTTTTTAAGCCTTTTCCACTCTACAAAAAAGTGATTTTATTACTGTCTGTTCCACATTGGAGAGATTTGTCCTTGTTTCCTGTTCCGCTGACCACACAGGAAGTGACATTTAACCAATGAGAACAAAAAAGGTTCACAGATGTTCCAATCCTTCCTGCATTCTGAAAAGAAGTGTACTTTAGAAAGCTTTTTTTTTCTCTATGCAGTGTTATTTTACACCCACATCTAACACACATCTACAAACCTAAAACTGTGCATGTGCCTTCACAAAGGCCCTGAATTCCTAAAGTTCAAAGTCAAGTGCAGCAGTGATCGCATCACGTTCGCATTGCAGAACTCCACTTCTACCCATCAATACACTCTTTATCACAATATGCTGCTACAAAACACTGAGCTGTATAGCATACATGAAAGTGTAACAACCTTCCTTCTATGCATGCCTATAGGTATAGGTTGGTATGGTTTTATGGCTGGACCTGATAAAAGGCCATTTTCTCCAATATCTGAATCTTACCATTGTTCTGTATGCACAAGTAAGGTTTCCACATTTTAAGTATAATTAATAATACAGTGCACAAATCAGAAAATAAACAATTAATAACAAAGTAATAAAAAGTCCACTGTCCCAAATAAACGGTGATTAGATGCTCCAATAAAAAATGATGCCAAAACAAAATGTGTTCTTTAAATGATATCCCCACACCATGCTCCGTGATCACCTTCCAGTACAATCCATACTTTATGGTTTCCACATTAGCCAACTGATAACTGCTTATTATATACAGACAACAGAAAGAGAGAGAGTTTTTATTCATGGAGTAGCCCTTATGATAGATGCATTACTGAGTTCTCCTATTGATTCATGGCTGCAGCCATTCTGTACCCAAAAACCTAAGATGATGTATGCACAAGGTAATATACAGCATATCCTATACGAGGTTATACATAATAAAATGTAAACTAGATGGCAATCTATCAGGTAACAGTATGCGGGAGAGAAGTTGCTCTGTGCTGTTAATAATATAATGTATAATATTTTATTGCTATTATTAAGAATAATAATACATTTAATATGATATATTATTTATTTAATATATTTTATATACCATATTAACCACTTTCCCTCCAGAGGATTTACCCCCCTCCCTGAGCAGGCCATTTTTTGCGTTACGGCGCTGCGTTAATTGCGCAGCTTTTTTTCCCCACAAATTGAGCTTTCTTTTTGGTGGTATATGATCACCTGTGCGTTTTTTTTTTTTTTTTTTTTTAGTTTTTTTTTTTGTTATTTCTTGCTCTATAAAAAAAGAAAAAAAAAGACAATTTTGAGAAGAAAACAATATTTTGTACTTTTTTGTTATTAAACATGTCCAGTAGAAAAAATAATTTTGTCATAAATTTAGGCCAAAATTTTTTCTGTGACATGTCTTTGCTAGAAAAAAATCCCAATGCGTGTAAATTAATCAGTTTATGTGAAAGTTATACCGTTTACAAATGGCAGTATAGATACTGGGATTTTATTTTTTTATTTTATTTTTACTAATAATGGCGGCAATCAAAGACTTATAGCAGGACTGCGGCGGACATTCTGACACAGGGGGTAGTGACTTGGTGTCATTGACATCCCCAGTGACACCAATACAGTGATTAGTGCTAAAAAAAAAAAAGCATTGACGCTGTACTAATGGCACTGGTCAGGAAGGGGTTAACATGAGGGGTGATCGAAGGGTTAACAGTGTGCTGTTTTACATAGTGCTGTGTCTGTGTGCTTCACTGTAAGCACAGTGGTTTACCATCCAAAGCAGTGTGCGCGAGCTGACAGGGAGGAGAACTGTTTTTGTTTAGAAACAGTTCTCCCCGTCGGAGATGCTCGGCAATCACTGGGCGCCTACGAGTAATCACCAGCCGGGACCCACTGATTGACAGCCACAAGTGTAATTGGTGGCGTGGGTAGGGCATACGCACGTCCTGCGTGCACCCCCTACCCGGAAATGCAAAATCACGTGTATATTTATGTGATTTTGCGCACCGTGCCACCCTGTAGCAGTATATCTGCTATAGGACAGTCGGGAAGCTGTTAATAAAAGTAATAAAATAAAAAAATATTATTTAATAATATAATCATTTTATACTGGATGTTATTGTTATGGGCATATGGCCCTTTACAATCTTTAAATGTTACAGCATTCCAAATGGCCACTGCTTAAAGTTGGATGTTTTAAAGTGTTACTAAACCCACAACAGTAACATCAGTCTGTATATGTAGAAAAGAATGCTTCTTATACTCACTGTGGAACCTAAAGGGTTAATTCTCTGCATTGATCCTGACATCTCTGATCCTCCCATTCTTCCACTGTCCCCCTCTTATCTCCTGCTAAGGCATATGGTGTGGAGACACTCTGCACATGCTCAGTTTGGTGTGTATTGCTAGAGAGCGTTTTTTTTTTCTTGGGAGAGTGCATGTGATCAGCACAGGGCCAATCAGTACTGCCCAGACAGAGATCAGAGGTTCTGCATCCTCCTACAGCAGAATTAAACCTCCTCCTACGAGCTGTAACCAGTGCTCAGCTGGATATTGATAGAAGTCATAAGACTGCTCTAACTGCTGATGAGAAAAGGTATTTAGCAGTTTATATTTACTAAAATAATTGCATTTCCATGTTCTGTGTACTGTGGGAGACCAGATATAGTGAATGCAGGGTCCTGGGTTTAGTAACACTTTAAAATACAACACCACTGTGGCTGGTATGATCTTCTCATCAAAAAAATTCTAGATGGAAAGCAAAATATAAGAAATATACAAACTATATTTCATTGGAATCCACAAATAGTTAATAAACACATACCACCATTATTGTCTGATGTTTGATTTACCAGCTCAGAAGCCACTATCAATTGAATATTCTATTTAGTCTTACATTATCAAACTGTACCTGTCATCCCTGTTTGAGTGCTCTCTCTCTCTCTGAAATAAACAGTAAAATAGGGATGTGGTTAAGTTGTAAAGTTCCTTAGTGTTGTCACCTTTGTCACCAGGTGCTTGTAAGATAGGATGTAGGATTAAAGGAAAATTGTGAGGGCATGAATACTGGAGCTTTTCTTTCTGACTTTTTTTTTTTTTAACTACTTTGCATCCTGGGCATTTTTAAAATTTTTCGCACACATGTTAACTCAGCATTTTTGCTAGAAAATTCCTTGTAATCCCAAAATAATTTATATATATTTTTTGAAAGCAGAGGCCCCGTAGAAGTACAGTAGTGGCAGTTGCAATTTTTTATGTTGCATGATCATCAAACTTATGTTTTCAGGAAAAAAACACACTAAAGTAAATTTAGTGCATACAAACACACTAAAACACCAATTTTTTTTTTGGTAGAATATAAAAGATAGCATTTGTAGAGCCAGTCAAATTAATTTTATTGAATAGCCGTTTGCTGATTTAAAAAAAAGATACCAAGCTCATGGCTTCAGCTGCACCCATGAGCTTGTTTTAGCCACTCAAAGTCTAGGACATTTTAATACCACCTAATGATGACAAGTGGTTAAGGATGTAGGCTTTGGTACTGACATCCTGCTTCTGACTTCACAATCTGGCGAGTTACTGATTTGGAACAGGCAGTTAGGGCAAGATTTCAGGCTTAGACTTTAATGGCTTTATGCTTGCCCTAGGTCACTATGGGTAGTGCAGTATGGATTCAGATGACAACCCTAAAGCCTACACCTTTGAAAACAAGGCACTTCAAGCAACTCCAATATCTCTAGCTTTACATTTCTTGTAAGGCCTACTAAATTTTAGCCACCACTATCTTGTAGCTAATCTTGTGGCTTCCACTTGTAAGGACCTCCACTTGCTATTAAGGTTCTAGCATTGAGCTATTGAATGGAGCAGGTTCTATAGTGCACACAAAGAGAAACCTAAAAGTACCGGTGATATTTTTAGTTTGGGCACATTGATATATCTGAGAAGTTCACTGTAAACAGTCTCTCTGTGGCTGTCTTTATAATGACTGCTTATCTTAGAACTTGTACATACTAGTTGATTGAAGTGTACTCTGTGTGTTAGAGGTGCACTTATAGGACAGCTATTCTGAAGGATCTCTATTATGATATGTGTCTTAAAGCAGAATTTTACCCATAACCATTTAATAACAATTAATCTTCTTTAATAAAAGGACATACTTTACGCAAAAATAATTATGCTACCAAAATTAGTGTGTGCTGTAAATTGTCTCAAACATTTCTCCTATTTCTTCTTACTGGAGGCCAGTAATTTGTTGAAGTCAATATCAGTCACTTCCTTATTGTAAACTCTCCCTTTTTTCTTGGTGTGAAACACTGTATGTCATTTTCTTCAATTAAAGTACATACATTTCCAGTCTTGATTGTATGTCTTGGCTCAGACGATTTACAGTGCTGAGGTTCACATGCTGCACAAGGGATAATATCAGAGATATAAGATAAGACACTATCCTTGTAAGTTTAATGCTGGTCATAGAGGGATTGAATCCCACCGGTTCAGCAGGGACTGGCCAAGATTTGATCCATCTATGGGCAGGCTTATTTTGCCAAAATCGATCCATCGATTGACTTTGGGTATAACAACTATGCTGGATTTTTAGCATGCGATTACTACCAACGGATATAGCCGCTGGCAGTAATCATTGTATTCTACCAAATAGGAAAGCTCTCTGTGCCCCAACCCTCTCCCCCAGCGGGAGGAGGCAGGAGGCATTCCCCCATCAAAACTGTTGATAGGAAAATTGAGTGATTTTCATTCCTTCCACCACAGGTGGAAATCGATTATTCTATGGCTTGCCTAACTCTTTTGCCTCTCACTGGCAGCAGAGTTTGTCCTGTCACCTTCCCTACTTTTCTTTTATCCTTTCCTAACCTGTGTTCCATCCACACCGTCTGTGTTATTTCTGTTGCTTTCTTCCACCTTCATCAACAGTAAATCTTAAAGTTGTCAGCTGATCAGCCTCTAGTGGCTCTAATTGTAGGCCAAGTGTTGAGAATAGAGAGTAACCGAGCATGTGCAGAGCCTGGTAAGGCCGTGCCTTACTGAATTTTTATAGTTTTACATACAGTAATCTGCATAAATGAGTAAACCCTAACATAAATGAGCACACCCCAACAGGTTTGTCAGAAAACCTTTACTTTCCTTTCAGAATGAACATTTTCCATGGGACACTATACTACAAAACACACAAATGCGGACCATTGATTGTAAACAAGATTTGTTATTTGCACACACAGAAAAGTATTTTTCCGAACAAATTCATTCAAGACCATGTTGCAAAAATGAATACACCTCAATGAAAGTTTTAGTAGCAAAGCTAAATTTTAGACAACAAAATCCTAATTAGCAAGAATTCAACTACAGGTGAGTCTAATTATTCATTAAACATTTGTCCAGCAGACAGTTGATTATAAAAGGGTGTTACCTAACACAGAAAACCCCTTCCCATTTCATGCTGTCAGCAATGGCACCACGTGGAAGAGAAGTGTAACAAGGCCTGAAAAAGAAAATAAGTTCTTTATACAAGAAAAGTGAAGGTGAAGATCAGCAAAGCTTTACTTCTTGGTCAGAATACTGTAGAAAAAGTGATACAAAAATTTAGCAAAGATGGAACTGAATCCATGTCACAGATGTCCAGGTTATCCACGGTAGTTGACACCTTGACAGGAGCGTCTTTTGATAAGAAGAGTTGAAAAAATCACCATGCAAGTTCATTACAGTTAGCTAAAGAAGTAGAAAGTCAAACTGGGGTGATTGTTTCCGGTGACAAAATACGATGTACACTGTAGAGGAATGACATGCATGGGTGTCGTCCACGAAGGAAGCCTCTCCTAAAGCCCTTGCACAAAAACGCCCACCTAAAATTTGCCAGGGCCGATGCTGAAAAAGACGACTACCTGAACTCTGTACTCTCGAGTGATGAGACCAAGATAAATGTTTTTGGAACTGATAGCTTGAAAACTGTATGGCGTGGCAAAGGTGAGGAGTACAAAAAAAATGCATGGTGCCTACAGTGAAACATGGTGGTGGCAGTGTCCTTCTGTGGGGCTGCATGAGTGCTGCTGATGTCAGGGAGCTGCTTTCCATTGATGGTATCATGAATTCACAGATGTACTGCTCTATATTAAAAGAGAAGATGATACCATCACTCCGTGCCCTTGGTCGTCGTGCCCTTTTCCAACATGACAATGCTCCAAAAACACACATCTAAGGCCACTGTTGCACTTCTGAAGAACAGGATGAAAGTGATTCAGTTGCCAAGTATGTCTCCTGATTTGAACTTAATCGAACACCTATGAGGAATTCTGAAGAGACAAGTTGAGCATCACTCTCCATCCAGCATCCAGGCTCCAAAAGAGGTCACTCTTGAAGAATGGAAAAAGATAGATGGTGCAATATGTCGTCAACTTGTTCATTCCATGCCTAGAAGACTTGGTGCTGTCCTTACAAGTCATGGAGGTCATACAAAATACTAGATGGAGTAGTTTTTGTTGTGGGGGTGTATTCACTTTTGCATCAACTAACTCAAGTATACAGTAACTGAAGATTTTATAAGTTATATATAAAGTTATACAGTGTTCCCTCGCCACTTCGCGCTTCATGTTTTGCGGCTTCAGTACTTAGCGGGTCAGCAGCCACACTGTGGAAAGGAGCGTTGTTTCATGTTGATGCGCGAGAGAGAAGGATCCCTGCATGTCAACCAAAGAGATGAGTTGACTCAGAGTACTGTACATACCACGGGCTTTCATAAAGGCGCGTGATTGGTTTCCGGTGTGATATCGACCAATAAGAGTACGAGTGGATTTATCCCTGTGAGTTGATTGTCTGCGCATCATTGCAGCCTCACTTAGCATCTTCCCTTGTTGTATCTTGAGTCTCCGAGTCAAGTGAGAGCCTCTCCTCCGCCACCAACACAAGACTCTTCGCCTCTCTCAGAAAGCAATGTTGATTAATGTTTATTACTGTATAAGGTTTTGTAATTAACCCTATTGTAATTAGCACGGACACGTTTAAGTAAATGCGTATACTGTACAGTACTGTTGTAATTTTTGTCTTAAATGAGTAAAGTATGAATACTGTTTACATATTTAAAACATTCTTGTACAGTACCCGCATACACAAAAATTCCTAGGGGCAAATACTACTTCGCGGTTTTTCAGCTTTCACGGAAGGTTCTGGTCCCCATTAACAGCGAAAAACGAGGGATCACTGTATTATTAACCTTACTGTCATGTAATGGGCTAAACCAATGTTCTATAAAACTCAGTTTTGTCAAAAGTTTGGAAACAGTTCTTGTGTTCATTGAGATATTGATTAAAATCTTACTTTTCAAAAGGGGTGTACTCATTTATGCTAAGCACTGTAGCTATACCTGCAAAAGGGGACTGCCTGAAGAAGTGATCTATTAGGACTTTATTTTCTGACTAAAGTTCTACAATAAAG